GTTTAACCGATCCCCATCCCCAGCGGCGTGGCCTGGGCCCCACTGGCCGATTTACCCCCCTAGATGGGGATATAGGTCGTTCCCTTCGGGTCTCGAGGTGTGTATCTCCAACTGGGGGGTAATTTGGTGGGGGTCTCGAAGGGGATGGGGATGGGGATTGGTTAAACGATACTGGGCGTGGGAGCCACCTTTTTCCATGATTCGATGCCTCCTCTCAGCTGGTGTTTGTAGCTTCTGCCGCTGTCAGCGGGGCCTCGGCCATGAGCCTAGACTTGCTCCCTTTGCGAACTCCACTTGCAAGGATGAAAGACCGATCTAAACACTCTGGAAACATGTTCTTCGAAGTCCGATCCGAGTTCAAATCAGAGGCAGCAGCGTGGCATGGGGACCCCCGCTGCAATGCCCCCCAGCGGAGCGCCGCCGGCCACGCCGAGGGGCCACTTACAACGGCAACGAGGGACAGTCCGCGCGGAAAGCATGCCAAACGAGGCCACACATCTGGACTCGCGGCATGGGGACACCAGAGCGGGGACGATGTCCAACAACAAATACTGTCCCAAAGGAGCAGATGTTACCCGCTTTTGGGCGGGCGCATCTGCCTCGCGGCCTGCATGCGCCGCATGTCCGACAAGGAGCCCTGTTCAAGATGTGGATGAAGTAACGTCGGTGTTCGTTCGGAAGGCCCCAAGACAGCCAAAGCAAGGTCCAAAACGGCTCCGAGGTGGCCAAGACCGCCTCTAGACGTCCCAAGATGGCTCCAATACCCAATGGTGCTGCTGCGGGTGCGGCTGAAGGAGCAAGTGCCGGCGGCCCCGACCGTGTTGCCCCGTTGCACCTGCGGGTGCGTCGCGGGTGCAATCTCGGGCGCCCGTGGCCGAAAATGCTTGGCCTGGTTGCAGTTGCGGGTGCTGGCGGCCCAAAAACTGTTGCCCACTTGCAGTTGCAGGTGCGGTTGCCACTTTGCACGGGCCTGCGGCTGCCCAACTGCGGCTGTGGATGCGGGCGCGAATACGGGCGCCCGCGGCCCAAAAATTCTGCCCAATTGCGGCTGCGGTGTGGAACTCAACCGGGCGGGCTCCTCCTCGCAATTCGCAGCTCAGGGCCCAGGGCAACCCTAGGATTGTATCACACTCTTCTGGGGCCAAACAACAGAACCCGCTTCTGGTCCGACACATGCCCCATGCCCCCCCTCCTCTTCCCCTGCATGCTCCCATCCTACGCACACTAAGTGCCTCATCCTCCACTTCCACTATTTCTTCCTTTCCACTTTCAATCCTCCTCCTTATCATGACCATCAGCATCATAGAGCCATCACTGAGGAATACTCATCAGCAACATCGTTACCCTGATCGTCGTCGTTGGCAACACCATCATCAACAACAACATCATGATCATCATCATCATCATCAACATCAACACCATCGTTCACACTGTCACCGTCACCATCATCATCTCCATCAGTATCACCATCATCCTCTTCATCGTCATCGTCATCAACACCGTCATCATCATCATCATCATCATCATCATCATCATCATCATCAGCATCAGCATCAGCATCAGCATCAGCATCAGCATCATCATCATCATCATCATCATCATCATCATCATCATCATCACCATCACCATCACCATCAGCACCACCACCATCATCATCATCATCGTTTTTGTCATCGCCGTTGTCATTATAATCATCATCAACATCATCATCATCAGCATCATCATCAGCAGCATCATCATCGTCATCATCATCATCATCATCGTCATCATCATCATCTACCCTTCCTCGTCATTATCGTTCTCATCATTCATCCTCCTCGACATCCTCATTCTAGCCCTCCTGATCTGTTGTTTCCTTCATCGTTCCCTTCGCCCTCCATCTCCTCCATCTCCTCCATCTCCTCCATCTCCTCCTCCCCCTCCCCCTCCCCCTCCTCCTCCTCCTCCTCCTCCTCCTCCTCCTCCTCCTCCTCCTCCTCCTCCCCCTGTCATTGCCCTCCAAGACCCGATCGAGTGCTGGAACCCAACCCAAGGGCGCCGAAGTGGGGAGTACACCCTCCGTCGCTCATTTTGCTCGCGACTCCACAAAGGCCCAGGTGAGACATAGACCCCAAGAAGCCACCCAGGGCCGCGGCGCCCCGCTCTGACCAGGACTCCGAGGCGAACCTGGCCGTGGTGCAAGCGATGTGGTGCAAGCTATATGATGTAAGATACGTGGTGACATCTAGGTGGTGTAAGCTATCCAGTAGAAGCTGTCGGGTGGAAGCTATGTTTTGCAGGCTAAGTGGCGAAAGACGTGAGTCGCATACTATGTGGTGCAAGCTACGTGCTGTGCGCTACGTGGTGAAATCTATGTGGTGCAAGCTACGTGGTGCATGCCATGTGGCGTTGGTATGTGGTGTAAACTGAGTGGTGGACACTATCCGGTGGAAAGTAGGTGGTGTAGGCTATGTGCTGTAAGATAAGTATCGCAGACTATGTGGTATAATCTACGTGATGATAACTATGTGGTGAATATTCGGGGTACTTTATCTGTCCCATCGCGTCGCCATTCGCATCGCATCCACGTCGAATTCGTGAATTCAAGTCGAATCCGCCTCGAATCCACACCCGATCTGCGTCGAATCCGAGTCGCACGCAAGAAACAACCCCTGCAAAGCACCAGAATAACCAATGGCACTTGACGTGAAGAGGCGAGTCGAGGATCAGGTCGGCTGGAAGGGACAGGGGTGAAAGCACGGCCATGTGCACTGCAGTGGTTGGTTGCGAGGGATCGTGCCCGCCCGGACCCGAAATGTGGCCAGCCTGGAGGCGAACACGCGCACACCGAATCCGTAGTACAGACAACTTTTACACGAAACGGTTGCCGGAAGTGGGCATACACGGGCTCCCCGTCCCACGTGTGGGACGCGTACGTGGTCCTCTGGAAGCACTATTAGAGGCCATCCAGCAAAACGCCGCCAGGGAAGGATGATGATTTGCAGGACAAGCGAATCCCCCCGAAAACGTAACGCAAGGCTGTTTGAATCTGCGCGGTGCAACCTATGAGGTGCAAGCTTTGCGGGGCTGCATCGCTAAACCTAGAACTCAGAAGCGGCGCAACGAGGCGACCACGAGGCGCCAACGGGCAGCAACGGAACCAAAATCTGAGTCCCCGCCCAGCGCAGGAGGCGGCCACGAAGCTCCCACGGGCGGCAACGGAGAAATTAGCCTGGCGAAGGACCCAACCAGATGCAGCTGCGAGTAATGCAGAGTGCGACCTTCTCCTCACAAGTAGCGCGCCGCGACAAGGATGGCGCGCGGGGCGGTGCAAATGGCGGCCACGAAACGCGTGAGGGGTGCGCCAAGATGGGGGGGGGGAACTGCATGCGGGCGCTGCCACTGGGGCATTCGGCGGAGCCCCCGATGGGACCTCGAAACGTGCAAGTGTGCTCCTCATGGGACCACGAAACGTGTGAACAAGATCGGAGTGGAACTGCATGCGGGCGCTGCCACTGGGGCCTTCGGGGTTCCTTGTAGGGCCACGAAACGTGTGAGGGGTACGCCAAGATGGGGGTGGAACTGCATGCGGGCGCTGTCACTGGGGCCTTCGACGGGGCTCCGTATGGGGCCACGAAACGTGTGAGGGGTACGCCGATCTGGGGGTGGAACTGCATGCGGGCGCTGCCACTGGGGACTTCGACGGGGCTCCGTATGGGGCCACGAAACGTGTGAGGGGTGCGCCAAGATGGGGATGGAACTGCATGCGGGCGCTGCCAAAGGGGCCTTCGACGGGGCTTCCTATGGGGCCACGAAACGTGTGAGGGGTGCGCGAATTTGGGGTGGAACTGCATGCGGGCGCTGTCAATGGGGCCTTCGGTGGAGCTCCCTGTGGCCACTGGGGACTTCGACGGGGCTCCCTATGGGGCCACGAAACGTGTGAGGGGTGCGCCAAGATGGGGATGGAACTGCATGCGGGCGCTACCACTGGGGCCTTCGGTGGAGATCCCTATGGGGCCACGAAACGTGTGAGGGTTGCGCCAAGATGGGGGTGGAACTGCATGCGGGCGCTGCCTTGAGGCCTTCCGTGGAGCTCTCTATGGGGCCACGAAACGTGTGAGGAGTGCGCCAAGATGGGGGTGGAACTGCATGCGGGCGCTGCCACTGGGGCCTTCGACGGGGCTCCGTATGGGGCCACGAAACGTGTTGAGGGGTGCGCCAAGATGGGGGTGGAACTGCATGCGGGCGCTGCCACTGGGGCCTTCGACGGGGCTCCCTATGGGGCCACGAAGCGTGTGAGGGGTACGCCAATTTGGGGGTGGAACTGCATGCGGGCGCTGCCTTGAGGCATTCCGTGGAGCTCTCTATGGGGCCACGAAACGTGTGAGGAGTACGCCAAGATGGGGGTGGAACTGCATGCGGCCGCCGCCACTGGGGCCTTCGACGGGGCTCCCTATGGGGCCACGAAACTTGTGAGGGGTGCGCATAGACGTGCAGGCGGGCGCCGCCACTGGGGCCTTCGACGGGGCTCCCTATGGGGCCACGAAACGTGTGAGGGGTGTACCGAAATTGTGGGCATGCGGAAGGCAGAGGCAGGGATTGGATGAGGGAGGAGGGGGGGGAGGGGGCAGCGGGAGCGAACGCGGTGCGCTCTCTCTCTCTCTCTCTCTCGCTCTCTCTTCAAAACGAAAACCCAACACCACAGGATGGTTGAGAAAAATCCCAAACTCTCACCAGCTTGCCTAATAATGCAAGCGAAAACGACCACATGAGGGGATTACAACACGAGTAAATAGTTCGGTGGCGAATCATGGCGCCTCCCATACCATCTTGTCGGCTCTTGCGAATCGATGTTAATCGATGCTACACTGACGCCAACCGCTACACAATCTACGCTCTTCGACGCTAAAGACGGAACTGAGAAGTCGTACCAAGCTCCCATGATTTGTCACCGTCAAATATGATACATATTACTTGAACTGTTTGGCACAATAGCAGATCGTCGCGGCGATTGAAGAGTCCTTGATCCACCCCGCCTGGGCGGCCTCAAGGGCCTGCCCCAGCCGGCGCATGTAGCCGTCGGCCTCCGCGTGCGCGGCTGGCGGGGGTCCATTTCCCTTCTTCTCCTCCTCCTTCTCCTCCTCTTCCTCCTCCTTGTCCACCTGAGGCAATGAGGCAATGACGGCAATGAAATACGTCGAGCGCCTCCGCTTCCCCTGGGGGGGCCCAAACGGGCCCCCTGGGGGACTAGACCAAAAAGCAAAAATTCGGGGCAGAGGCCCCGCAAGACAAGAGGGAGGAAATAGGATATACAAAGCATCGGCATCATAATAACATCGAAGAGGCAGGAAAGGTAGGTGGAACAAGCTGCGGCGGCAGCAAATGAAACGGCGCGGAAGCCCGAGGGCCTATGTTGGGTCCTCCCTCCCGCGGGTCGAGCGGAGCTCTTCGGCCACCGCCGTGGAAGGCGCCCTAGGCCACCCCCCCGCAGGGGTGCCCGCTTGGGGGCAGGCCTGGAGACATTAGAGGACCGCGTAGAGGTAGAGCGCGAAAAAGACAGGCGGGCAAGCCAGGGCCGAAAATGGAGGTCGAAAGAGGCAGCCAGCGGCGGAGGTGACGGCGCAGGTAGGGCTGAAAGATTAAGAGGGGTCAGAAAAGGCGACGCGGAGAATGTTCCGCGGGCCCCACGTAGCGGTGCCCTTCGCAGCGGGAAGGGCCCAAGGGTCTCTCCATCTGCCCATAGGAGTCCCCTACAGGCGACCCAGAGACCGACGGCGGGATCCCTCGCCTGCAAGCAGTCGTAGGGATCCCAGCACGTCGGCCCCTTGGCCGCCTTAGGCCGCCTTGGGGGCTTCCACCAAGCTTGAGGGAGGTTCGGGTCGTCGCCCTGAGGCGGCGCGGGCAGCGCTGGCCACGCTCGCCAAGGTACACGCTCGCCAAGGTAGATGGCAGGAGGGCCCCACCCGCTGCACATAGAAGCCCCCCGCAGCATCCACCATCCCCACGACTGGTACCCTCCCCCGCCGAGGCGGGAGTAGGGCACCCGGAGCATGGGAGTTGCGGCTGCTTGGGGGGGTCCCATCGCGCGCGGGGGTGGTTTCTGCCGTCTGCGGCGGTTGCGCGGGCGCTCGGCTTGCTGTAGTTAGCAGGCGGTTGGCGACCGCAGCTGCTGAGCAGGCCGCGGAGGTGCCCCGATGGCGGAGGTCGGGGGGGAGGTGTCCTGATGGCCGCAGCTGCTGAGGTAGGCGGAGGTGCTTTGACGGCCGCTGCAGCTGCTCCTGTGGCCCAGGGAGGTCGGGGATCGGTGAGGACCCGCGGCTCATGTACAATCGAGTCATGGTGATCACAGTCGCCACTGATGTCCATGATGTGCTCCTGGCGCCACTGATGTTCACGCTGCAGATTGATGCCACGTCACGCTGTAAATATGCCAAAAATAAGTCGACTCCCATACCACCAGCCGTGCTGCTTCCGTCTTTACGGATCATGCAGAGGTGGGGGCGGGCACGCAGAAGCCGGTGGTTCTGTCAGAATCCAGCAAATGTTGCGCGGGGAGAAACGCGCTGACCGGCCGTCGCGAGGCCGATCCAGTCGCGAGAATTGCCTCGCGTTGTGGTTGTGGGCGATCAGGCGGGGGTCTCCTGATTCGCCGTAGGTTGGTCGCGCTGGTCAGGATTGGCTGGTCAGCTACGACAGCGTCTGCGCCGGCCGGCCATGGTATCCATAGAATTGGAGGGCCTCCTGGTCCGTCTGCTACTGGTCGCCCTTATGGATGATGCTGTTGTAACGTCCGGTTGAAGGCTATGTCGCGGTCGTCTATGGTTTCGCGTCGAGTCGCGCCCTCGCGCTCGGATGGGTCGTTGCTGATCAGGGCGGCGAAGCGCTCGATCGTGTCGTGCATGCGGCTCTTGATCCGCGTTCCTGTTGTCATACCTCGCGGTGGCGGGGGTGGCGGTTAAGCGAGCTCGATGGCCGTGTCTCGCATGCGCGTGACGTCGTCGTCGTCAGCCTCCAGGGTTGTTGTGACTCGACCCGTCGTGGTTTGGATCGCGTCTGGCCCCTTCGTTTCCTTCTTTCGTGGCCGTGCTGCCGCATTCTGTTTCTGCAATGGTCTGCTTTGCGACGGGGGCTGGAGTCAGAATAGCCGGTGGAGCTTTGTAGCGTAGCACGAGGTCTGGGAATGCGTTCGCTGGTACTGGGGCACTGGCGTCGGTGTCGTAGATTTCAATGGTGCTTCATAGCGTTTAGGCTGGGCTCCTAGACTGCTGCTGGGGACCGGCCCCTCGTGGGTAGAGAAGCGGGGGCCCCTTGGATCGGGGCGGCCATCGGGTCAGGATATAGCGTCGTCACAATCGCGTTTTGTCGTATGATGTTCAGGTCCGTCGTTGAATGTGCAACTGTGCTGCGTAGATCTCTGCGATGATCATGAGTATCCTTTGCTGGGTGCCTAGGTTGTCGCATTGATTTGTGACTAGCAGACGTGCGAAGTGGCCGGTGTCGGTGTCGGTCGGAACCCTTCATGTCGGTTGCATCGCTGTCGGTCATGAACTCAACTGCTGGCTTCAATCGGTCCACGCTGTTCTTGAAGTCGACGTCGTCGCATTGCTTGGTGATCACGGTGTCGAGGGAGGCGATGTCGACTGGGAAGACCCGAACCTGTGGTAATGGAGACCGCTGCCTCGGAGGGGTGGGAGGTGTCGTTGGCGGCGTCTGTGTCCTGGTTGGGACGGCCACCAGCGGGTAATGGATAATGTTGTAGTTCTCGTCGGGCAAGCATTCCGCGCTGTCTGGAGACAAAAAACTGTTCCAGCCTGCTTGTAAGAGTACGTTGCCTGGGTCTGTGCACGTCATTTCCCTGGTGTCCACGTTCTACTAATACACTTGGGGTTTCCAGACATAGTCGTTGCCTTTGCACGCGTAGGCGATCCAAGGCTTGGGTGGCAGCAGTCGATGGTTCGGTGTTTATGGTAGCCCTTCGGGAACTTCTGTGCGTCGGATGGCCTCGTCGACGGGTTCCAAGCCGGGCAATCAAGCTGAAAGAAAGGCGGTGACGGATTAGTCGGCAATGGGGGCTGTGCCTTGTACGCGGCCTGCTGGGTCGGGCTAGCGATGATTACCCTGTTGTATGTGTTTGGGTTGGCTGGCGTACGTTGCTCTCGTCTTGGTTTTTCATGTCTTACTATCTGAGCGTTGCTCTGGAATGGGACGATGGTGATTGTAGGGATACGCTTTGCGAACCCGTTTAGCTGGAGTTCCGCCTCTTACTTGTCCTCGCGCGTTTCGTATTAGAACGTCCTCAACTTCTCCAACATTCGGTGTCCCTCTTGGCGTAGGTCCGCTGGGATGTGCGGCAGCAATTTGTGGATGTCCCTCACCATTGTGTGCATGCAACCCGAGACGCCGATGCCGACTGGTTCGACCCAGGGGGCGGGTTGTGGTCGCGGCGGTGTCTCAATCCTGACTGCCTCCACGTGTGGTAGCTGATTGCTCCTCTTCCTCCTCCTCCTCCTCCTCCTCCTCTTCCTCCTTCTCTTCCAGCCCATCCCTGTCCTCTCACTCCCTTCGCCTCCTCGCATATCCCTCTTCACTCGTCCCTCCTTCCTCCCTCCCTCTCCTCCGTCTCGGGCCCCGCTAATTTCCCATGATCAAGAACTTGTAACTGTCGCGCTCGAACTCCCAGTGCGCTCTGCTTCGGGGTGGCACCGTGCGCGCGGAGAAACAACTTAGTTGTTCGAGTCGCCAGCCCCTCGACCTCGCATGCGCATACGTTGGTTGGACGAGGGTGTGCGTCCTTCTGAGGCGGGGGTCCTGAGGAGGCAACTGAGGATTCTAGCAAAGTTCCTTCGGAGGCCCGAGGCTTGCAAAGAGGCCCCCTGTCAAATTAGAAGACCATCCCTCCCTCGTGTAACCTTTTTCCGCATGCGTTTGGTGTTCGAGAGACCTGCGCGCCATCCAGCCACCGTGTCTGGGTCGCAGGCCAGAAGCCCACTTGGATGCCTCTCGGGATCTCTTGGCGTGCTTCTCGGAGGCATGCATGCCAACGGTGAGCGTCTGGTGGCCTTCGACAACGCCCCTTGGGGCCCTCTTGGAACATCTCGGTGTTTCTTTGGGCCGGAAAGCTGCGGTTTTCCGCTGGCGCCGTGCTTGTGCACCGAGCTCGCCAACGCCATCTTTCGTGACGTCTATCAGTTACAGAGCTTTCGTGTTGTATTGTAATGTTCAGGATGTCATCGATAGTCGTCTGGTCGGCACGACATTTCATCTTGTCGGGAAAGCCCGTGGAATCGACACGCCTCCATTAATAGTAATGCCAGTCGCCGTGTCCTTCCAAATGTCCTTGATGTCGGATGGGAAGACAAAGGGCTCCTGCTCATCGACGGCCATGAGGACGTCTATCATTATCATGTGTTCTTCCGTCGAATCCTTCGTCTTCACGACGTGGTGCAGACCATACAGACCCAATGATGGAACCATCAGCCGCTGCCTGCTGCCACTACTGCCTCTTGTCGCACGCACGGCTGCAAGTCTGTAGCTGATGATGATAATGATGATGATGATGATGGTGATGATGATGATGATGATGATGATGATGATGATGATGATGATGATGATGATGATGATCAGCCACTGCCCATTCTTCTTGACAATATCGAACGTACTCATACTGCTGACAAACGGGTTCCGTATAGTCTGGCGTCCAACGGTGGCCTCATCCAGGTCGCTAACAGCCAACTATTGGTTACAGGCATTGTCTTGGCTGACGCTGCTTGGGACGAGCTCGGAAATAAAAATACTGACTTTGCCATGAGACTTTTCTTGCACGAGTGCGAAAAGAACTGGCAATATTGCCGGGAGAACTGTACGCAATCGACTCGCACAACGTCGCGATCGATCTTCCGTACCTTTTTCCTAGGCAACGCGCAAATGTTCGAAACTCTCCTCCGCTTAAGACCCAGACCCCCCCCGGCAATTGCCGCATTCATGGCTGGATGTCTGGCTACGGCGTGGTTCGCTTGTGAACTCTTCATGGGGAAACCAAAAAGTATCCATACCGCTACTCCCCAGACCTTCCCCGGGTGCGTTC